TTCAGGCTTCACAGAGGAGAAGGAACATCAAATTGAAAAATGCCGACAGGGAGAGGGGACAGATGAGTGTTTCAAAGATGTAAGAGACAGACACAAAGGTAGATGAAAGGTGAGGTGTGAGTACTGTGGAAATAGTCGAATATGGCATAGAGTGAGGTGATGGTAGTTTGAAGTGAGAAGTCAACTGCCAGTTAATAGACTTTTTTGCCGTATGAGTATACGTTGCCCAGGGTGCACCACGTGGAGGTATGTCTATCGCACACCCCCCTTTTATGAAGATTACTGTGTGGTATGAGTAGTAGATGGGCTGTCATTGAGCCTTTCTCCCTCTCTCTTAGGAAACTCACACTTCAATGCACCTCGTGTTAACCAAAATCACGCACAAACATCGTTAGGTGCACACTAATTTGTATTGATACAGTAGAGTGAACGTGGAACTCGGTGTTATCGGCGCACAAGAATGTTTCTTTATTTACCTTCACAGAGATTCAAGTAGTACGTAAAGCTCTGGCTTTGTTGAGAGTAGAAAGCAACGTCTATGAGAGCATTTAATAAGTCAATATTAATATCTCGTGTCTAGTGGACTAATTTGGCCAAAATGATGGTATCCTACGAAATTCAATTATTAAACTCCCCCCTCCCTCCCTCTCTGTTTTCTAATTATAGTGCTTTTTTGTTAAGGTCATTCTTATAAACAGAGCCGTCTTGTTTTAAAATGGACTGTAAGAAAGCTTGCATCTGACAAAATTTTGGTAAATCAGTTTAATTGCCGATTTCATAAGTGAAAGCTTGTTGCATCCGTGGGAATTTGTCCTAAATTTGCGGGATTTTCCGTGCGTGTGTGAGACGTGATTATAATCGCAATCAGCGGTGTTCCTTTTGGCGCCATTGAGAAACACTCATTTCTCTTCCTTTTCTCCTCTTTTTAGACTCCCCTGTTCCTTCAATTCCTATGTCATCCTGGGCTCCTACGTGGTGCAGTCGGACGCTGGTGATTTCGATCCTGATCGTCATCAGGGCATTGCCTACATCCGCGATCATCCCTTCGCTCCAAGCCACCTCCAGAGCAATGAAATGCTCTACCGCATTGTTGAGACCCACCGTCTTCACCAGTATGTCCCTCATTGGCATTCTTTTTCTCATCGCTCTTTGTTTACTTACCATCTGCTCTGATAATCTCTGCCTCCAATCAAATATGCATTGCTCGGCTTATTATGAATTTAATATCCTATTATTGGGATATTAGATACATGCATATTTACTCCGAAGTGTTGATGCAATTACATCCACTTTTTATACCCATATTTGTGCTTTTAGTGTAAACAAAGCAACCCACTCTAGCCTTCATCAATGTGTGGTTTCATTATTTCAATTTTATCTTCCTCTCTTGATCACGTAATTCTCCCTTTTACCCTAACCTATTTTTAATTAATCTATTTACTCTTTCAAAATCAAAACGCCCATTCTCATTAATTAGTGAGATCGTCATTAATGTAATGACTGCCAACACATCGTGATCTCCTTATCTATCCTGCCATTTACTTGGGGGGGGGGGGGTCATTTTGATGCGATTGATCAGTAGTGTGCTTATTTGACCTAATTTGAATTCTTCGGACCCGTGTAAACCGACGAACCGCATTTCTACCCTAATTTAATTACACCTGACTCTTGTTTCAACCTTGAAGTGTAAGATTTCTGCTTGTTTCACGAATTACAATATTCTTTTTTTTTGCTTCTTGTTTTTAAGACTAAGCGTTATTGTTGGTAATTCCAATTCCTTTCGGCTGTTCCTCTCCCTCCTTACCTAAAATGGAGGGCCGTCTGTTTCTATTTCAACCCATTCCCCCCAAAATTTCCCTATTTCCGCGTGCGATTTTGAAATTTTGGAACAATTAGCTGCAATCCGAGTGTGAAGACAGGATTTCTTGTTTTGAACTACTCGGAGAGGTTACTTTCAATCAGCTTTAATTGCTGTTGTTGTTAGTGGATATTTGCAATAGAAGCCACGCTCTCTTTCACAATTCAATTTTAACTGACGCAATTGCAGTATAGGATTCAAATATCTCCGGCGTTTTTGTCCAATCATCATTGTCCCCAGAGCCGCGTTCATAAACGTTTAGAATATTTTTTTTTGAGTAAAAAATGTGCCCTTAGTGGTTGAAATCTAAGCGGACATTTCTACTCGTTTATATTACTAGAGTGCACATAACACGTAAATTTGTACTTTAACTGCTACTATGCTAATGGCATGTACATTTCTTCTGTTTGCACTTTTTTCAAACCAGCACTTCCACCTCTTGGATTGTTGTGAGTAGTTTTCGGCTTTCTTCATTTTTCGTGTTTCTTTTTGTTAAAGTTGCACGTCAAAAGTAGTTCACCTGTCTTGGAACCCAATATGTGGGTTTTCTAATTCTCAGGATGTTTGTTTGTCAGTTGTATTTGCTGCAGGAAGTTTAGTGAGATATTATTATATGTACTCATAATAGATTTTTTGTTTACGCAGTCTAGCTTTTGTGATTGGGGCATTGTTGAATCTCTCCTACGCGCACCCTGACATCCAGAAAGCATATTGAGAATTAGACAACAATCGTGTAGGCGGGGGGGGGAGTCAAAAGAATGTTCATGCGACTTGTAGGCCTGTCATTGCAGCTTCGAGCCCTTATTATTTATGGAACGGTTTCGATACCCCTCCCACTGATTTAGACCATTGAAGAATCTGCCCACCTCTATATAGGACGTTCAAATTCATTACCCCCAACTGATTGTACTGACTAACGCTCTCGTTATACATCAGTATGCAATTTCTGCTCTCTCCACACACACACACACATACATACATCTTTCCCTATTTTTGCCTTAACATTTCCGTGCAGCGCCACATTTGGGAAAAATGTTGCGCAGTTTGTATGTCCTACTTGGCTTCGTGTCCATTGTTGCCCCACTTAACTTCTACCGCAAATGTGAAATGATTTATACATCTACTGGTTGTTTTGCGAATTGGTTCAGTCTCTCTCTCCCTCTCCCCCTCCCTCTCTCGTAGTTTCATGATTTCCCGATGCAGCTGGTCATTTTGGAGTGAAAGATCTCCTCTCTTCTTCAACTTCTATTTGAATTTTACTGCGTTAAATGTAAATTTTGGCATATAAGATGAAGCTGATCATGAGAGCAGCCTTGTTTCGCTTAATTAAATTTGCACTCTTACGCTTAAATTTTCACATATTTTGGCCTGGGCTTTGCTATTTGCCTTCATCCATTGAAGTAAGTTCTGATACTACTTGGCTAGACGGTGTTCTGGAGTGGCTCTTTCGCAAATCGATTGGTAATTAGTGAAATTGAACTTATTTTTTTTCCTTCCGAGTGTTTCCGACAGTGCCAACTAAATTGACCTAGTCACTTTTGAAAATGTAGGCGGGGTGAGTTTTTGAAATTGCCTTTGGCAAGCAGCAATGGGGATATATTTACCAGAAATGATTGTTCATTTTTGCTCCTGGTGGGAGATTTAGGCTGCCATGCTATTTGTTGGGTTAAATAAAAGAGCTATTAACTTGATTTATTTCACACTGCTTTTATTATGGAAGCCAAAATAGCTCGATATGTAAATATTTTGGCACTGAATTTAGAATCTGGAGTCATTAATTTCACATTTGTTAATTAATTCGATTTCGATTTTCTCTTTGATCTGTCTCAGTACTTTGTTACCGCCTGATGAATTTTGCGTCTAGTCTTTGAATTAAGGAAAAAACTCCAGTTGTTCGCTTTCAATTGCGGTTGGAATGCAGAATCTCGAAACTGCTTCTCTACTGCTCTCGAAAACCGATTTCCCGTGTGTGTCTGCCACCGTTTAGTTTTGTAATTTAAGTCTAAACAGATTATTATTATTATTATTTCGAATGGCAGGCTTTGTGATA